AAGTTTGAGCTGATTCTGACTTCAATTTTTCAAGTTATGGCCAATTTTTGAAAAATACCCAAGCCCATGGTTTTTTTTCCAAAAAATGGCTCCGAAATCACCCCCAATTTTTATTACATTTTCTGATACATATTGATGTGCTTATGCTGTGTAGAAAGTTTGAGCTGATTCCAGCTTTAATTTTTCAAGTTACAACCATTTAAAAAAAAACTTCCAAAACATGCTGTGATGACATATTTCTGTCTTGTTTTGTATGATAGGTTTGGTGTCCACTATGAGTTACCGTTACTCATCCAGAGTCTCATTATGACAGTGACTATGTTAATAATGATGCACATTTGTGTGACAGTAAAGAAAGAATCAGCTCCAACAACAATACACAGATCAATATGGGGTAAGACTCCACTATAGTATTCTGTACATGTACATGTACTTGCACTTGTACTATAGTGTGTGGGTGTATCAAAGGCACTGCCATGAGTATTTATATAGTGGAGACCACAGGAGTGGTAGTTAGGAGTGTCATCTGCCAATAATGGTAGTTAGACTATAGTGCCTTTCATATACCCACACACTATAGTACAAATGTACATGTATTATGGTATAGTGCAAATTTTCTTTGGATTTTTGCAGATTTTGCAATTTTTTGAAGATTTGCAAAAATTTCTTCGGCAAAAATCAAAATTATTTTAGTACAAGGTGGCAGCCAGCATAAATTCACGAAAGTCAAATCGGAAAAATAGATTTTAGACAAATTTGTGAAATTTACAGCCCTTGAAAATTTTGCGCTATACGGTATTATGTATGGTACATATATGCTTAATATATGTACATGTACATGCATGTACAAACCAATCTATAATCTCTTTTTGTCTTACCCTATTCTTTATCTTCTCCTACTTTTATAGATATAAATTATTTCTGGAAGTGGACTGATTTCAGAGAGTACCTCATCTTCACTGGACTATTCTCACTTGTTGGATTCATCGTTACTCTCCTCCTCATTAATGTTAGTGTCTTTGTTGAGCTCTTAGGCTTTGCCTCACTCTTCACTGAGGCAATGCTCGGCCTGCCTCAGTTCTGGAAGAATTATAAACACAAATCAACTGAAGGAATGAGGTGAGAGAGAGAGATTCTTAATGATGTTTTGTATTTTTATGCGTGTGAATAAAAGCTGGTTTACAATATATCAGGCCAGCGTACTGTCATTAATTTTTAATCAAAAGCGTGGGCGATTTGATCTTTTGACGCATGCTTTCCGCTAGAATAGAACCAAATCTTATTTTCATCAGTATCGTATTACAATGTATTGTGAATCCACCTTTTAAGCATATATGCACATTAATAATGATTGGTAATTGTAATATTGGCTGAGATTTTAATCTCAAATTAGCAATCATGAAAAAGATTTTTATCTCTTCTCTCTCCCTCCCTCCCTCTCTCTCTCTCCCTCCCTCCCTCCCTCCCTCCTCCTCTCCCCCTCCCTCCTCTCTTTTTCTCTCCCTCCCTCCCTCTCTCTCTCTCTCCCTCCTCTCTCTCTCTCTCCCTCCTCTCTCCCTCCCTCCCTCTCTCTCCCTCCTTCCCTCTCTCTCCCTCCTCTCTCTCTCTCTCCCTCCTCTCTCCCTCCCTCCCTCTCTCTCCCTCCTTCCCTCTCTCTCCCTCCTCTCTCTCTCTCTCCCTCCTCTCTCTCTCCTTCTTCCTGTTACTAGCATACAGATGGTATTATTTTGGTTGAGTGGTGATACATTCAAGACCATATACTTCATAATGAGAGGTGCTCCTGTACAGTTTGTGGTCTGTGGCTCTCTCCAGGTGATGGTAGACATTGCCATCCTTTCACAAGTTGTGGTCTATAGGAAGAAAAGGCAGCATTTCATTAGTGCCAGTTTATCAATAAAGTCCTAACTATTGTTGATTATTATTATTATTATTATTTTACTAGACAATTTTTTATTATTGTTAAAAATCTTATTTTATTTCTTTTTTTCCAAAAAAAATTATTTCTCATGCTACAAAAATGCAAACATCTCCACAATTATATACAATATTTTTCTCAGTACTGGTTTCTGTTTTACTAATAATTTACAAAATTAGTTATGGTAATAAATAATTATTAATAATAACAGTAATTAAAAGTAGAAAAGAATTGAAGGTGGCAATGATCAATAATTACAAAACGAGATTCACAATGTCTTGCGAAAAAATCATTTTCTTAATTCTAGTATATTAATTTTGTCTCCGAGTTTAACAGTCTTTCCAGCTTGAAGGGCAAGCCCAAACATTCCAAAGAGAGCTTTATCAGGACCTCCTGGTGCCCTGTACTGTCTGAGGATATCAAGAGGACCGACTTTATCAGGAACACCAGTCTCTTGATTGACACTGGGTACCTTACACCTCTGGAAATAATGAGAGAGGGAGGGAGAGAGAGAGAGAGAGAGAAAAGGAGGGAGGGAGAGAGAAAGGGAGAGAGAGAGAGAAAGGGAGAGAGAGAGAGAAAGGGAGGGAGAGAGAGAAAGGGAGGGAGGGAGAAAAAGAGGAGTAAGAAGCCATTATTTAAGTTAATTAAATGAAGCTACATAAGATAGCTACTGATTTTAAATTGAGTGTTAGCTCACACTAGCACTCAAGA